AAACCCTGTCTCAAAAAAAAAAAAAAAAAAAAAAGCCAAAACAAGCCTAAGGGAAAATGAAAATTAGATGCTTTTGTGCAAATTAAAAACTCTTACTTTTGTCTTAATGTAAAAAAATCATCAAAATAAAAATCCTCAAAACCCCACAATGCAGTCTGATACATTCTTGTAGTGAAGTCTCAGAAATAAAGCCCAATTGATCCAACACTCTAGGCTGCCATCCCATAAAACATGGAGATTAGTATACTAGGCAAAGCTGGGAAAGAGCAACCTCAAACCACAGCAGGAGTTGAAAAGGACAAAGACAGACAGAGAATGGCAGAGAATTGGAGCCTTAGGGCCCAACATACCTTGGTAAAGGTGGTGGAGCCAGAGGCCATTAGAATCTGACGAACTCGGTTATGGAAGCGTTGCATCGACTCATCGTCCACACGCAGGAAACATTGCGCTGTCCGCTCCTTGGTAACCTAAACCACAAAATCAGAGGCTCTAGATGGGCTGATGACATGGTTTATAGCAGGCAAACGTGCTTGCTACCAAGCCCTATTTCCTGAGTTCAATCCCCAGAACCCACAGAGTGGAACTAACTACAAGCTGTCCTCCAAACTCCACAAAAATAACAAGGCAATAAATAAGATGAAAAGCTAACATGGTATGCATGCATTTAATCCCAGAATGCAGATTCCAGGGAGGATCTTGGTGAATTCATGGCCAATCTGGTCTATATAAAATTCCAGGTCAGCCATCACTGAACAGTAAGACCTGTCTCAAAGAAAAAATAAAAAGGGAATAGCAGGGAATGGTGGCACATGCCTTAATCCTAACCTGTGGGAGGTGGAGCCAGAGGCAGGCTGATCTCTGAGACAATCAGGGCCAGTCTGGTCTACAAAGTAAATTCCAGCCAGGGCTACACAAGCAAGGATTAATCGTGATCACTACTAAGCTCAACCCACCTAAGGGTCACTGAGCTGATAATGAAAAGGTGTGACTGTTTTTCACCCCATTGATGCCAGAGTTACAAGGGTGGTAAAGTGATGTCCTTCCTAGACTGTACCTCATTCTGAAGGTTCCAGACCCCATCCTTGTGGGTGAATTCTTCATAGCTGGTACGGCACTTAGGCAGGATGCGGCACTCAAAGCCACACATGTTGAACAGCAGGTTGGGGTTGTCTTTACTGTACACAGACACAAAGCTATTCTCCCATTGTACTGTAGTCACTGATCGTGGCAGCCGGTTTTTGATGTCCCAGAACACTGCCCGACCCCTGTCCACAGAGAACAAATAAGAATTTCAGTCTGTTGAAGACACTTGCATTCATAGACCAGACAGAAGATAGGCCCATATTCCTCCTACCCAAGATATAACCTCCTCAATTTTAATTGCTTTCTGGGTCCCTAGGACTGGCATTCTTTCTACTCCTACAAGCCCAACTGAGACTCACAAGTTGACATCATGCTTCATGAGGCGCATTCGGGCATCTCGGGGCCAGCATTTCTTGTTATTGTAGCCAACAATGTTTTCATTATTGGGGTCTGGATGCTCCGTCAGGTAACGCTGGATCAGATCCCGAGCTTCATCTGCTGTGAACCTACATTAAGACAGGGGACACTTTGAGAATGCCAGCTCCACAAGTGGGGACCCTATGCTACTCTAGACTTCATTTCACTTCATAGCTTCAACTCAGCAACTAGTCAACTAAGCTACAAGAGCCATTTCACAGGCAGGACATGCCTCAGTGCTGTGAGGACATGCAGGTTAAAGGATCAGACCATGTTCTTTACCTGAAGAAAATATGAATGCGATCAATGTATCTACAGAAGAGTCGGATTGGGTGAGCAGCCTCAGTGGCTATGTCCTGGAAACTGAGAAAGTCGTTTGGCATCTGAGGAGGCCCAGCCATCTCACTGGCCCGGTGCAATCCCAATACAAGCAAATCCATCACCAAGCCATAGTACTGTACAATGAAAGAGGCAAACTGCAGGCCTCTGATGATCCCATATGAGTTTGTATGGTTCATGTCCTAGGAAAAAAAA